GAGCATGAGGGTGCACCCCAACCTGAGAAGAAACAGGAGCAAAAACACTTTGCATTTGCTTAATGCAGACCTGAAATCCTTGATGAAAAGAAACTCGAGCAAGATCAAGCACCATTTAAGAACTGTTCATATGTAGGTGGTTTACAAAATATTTATTTATTTAAAATGTATGGATCATTGTTAAGTGGTGTTCAGATTTCATAGGCCATTTATTAATTTAATAAACCTACGTTTTAATAGATAAATTAAAAGCAAAAATCTCGTTTTGCATATGAAGATTGTAATAAAAACCATCCCAAGAAAAAATGCGTTTAAAATATTATGAAAGCGGTATCTTAATGTAATCTTCCGTATTTTTATGTTATATTTACAAATTTTATAATACCTTTTTGTTATAAATATTTCGCTACGTAGAACTCCAAAACATTGGACCTTCTAAAGTCCTACAAATTTGTCTCGGCTATTTTGCATTTCAATTAAATAATCGACTTCAATTCATGAATTAAATTGACCCATTACTAAAAATACATGCATTATAAATCGTGTTTTAATTTTATAATAAAAATTAGATTGAAAATGTTTAAACAGAAACCATAAAAGGTTTTTGTCGTGGTGAATCCAAATTTGACCTCAGAATTGTTCTATCACATCAGGTTTTCGAGAAATTCTCACCCAAAAGTGTAAAAATGCAGTTTTTTTTTAAATTTTTGAGGTTATATTATACTACGGTATTTTTTACGAAACTTTACACCTGAAAGTACTACTCCCTTTCGAAATTTTTAAATGTGCTTTCTCCTTTTCTATGGTGTAATTTATTAGTTTTATTTAGGAACAAAATTTAATTCCAATTTCACTTAGGTAACGATTTGTGGAAAAAACAATAGCACGTGGGTTAATTTCATTTTGTAGACCTGCGAAATTATCTTTAAAATGTATTAAATGCATTATTATTAGAAATATAATCAAGCACTAAAAATAGACAATTAAACTATCAGAAAATTGAATTAGTTTTTAGTGCATTAAAGTTAATTTTTCGTTTTATTTTATATATATCGACGTTAATATCTGATATAACCAGTTATATCCCGATTGCATTTCTCCATAGCATTTCGTGAAAACATTTTGCATAAGTCACGGTTAACAAACTGCTGCAACGCGGTAACACGAATAATTATCATAAATAATTTGTTGTTTTCGATATACCTTTTTTAGGTTTTATGAAAATATATTATAAAAAAAACTTTTTAATTAGCTACATTCAAATTGTTTCTTAATTGCAAATAGTATATTACACTACAAGGGCAGAAAGTGTGAGATTCCTGCACTGCGCGCCATGATGCCAGAGGCGAAGCCGAGGGCAGGGCCGTACCGAGGCACACTTTTTTGGGGGGGTGAAGACGATAAAAAAACCAACTTATTTTTTTATCGATACTTTAGTAGTAGGTAATAGTAAAAATTTATAGTAGTTTTATCATGAATGTAAAGTGTTGTAAAGTGTAGATAAAGAATGTCTTTACCTACCATTAGCATGCTCTTTCGAAGTCGATGGGATTGATTCTCGTTCTCTATTTTTTTGATTTGCTGCCAATGTAAGTGGATTATGTTCCGGATAATCCACTGCAGTAACAATTTTAATTTTAACCAAATTTCCACCGTGAATATTTTCCTCGTGCATTTTTTTGTAGTCCTTGTTAAACACAGATCCACATAATGAGCATTTTACTAGAACTCGGCCCGGTCTAGCTTTCTTTTCCATATTAAAAAAAAGTTAATTCCTATTTATTGACACTAGTTTTACTTAGCTTAGATAAGCTTCAACTAATTAATAATCTAGAAAAATAAGACGCCGAAAATTTCGGTGCGTAAGAAGAGTCAAACGCCGCCAAAACCAAAGACAAAGCCGCGAGGCGGTGCCGACTTTGTACATGCCGCTTGTGTGAAATATAATGTCATTTAATAAAAATAAGGTTGACAAATACAATTTTCTTGACGGTAACGATTATAGGAGGTTACAATAGATTAAAAATTATAATTTTGTAATATGTAGGTAAAGTTTAAAAATTATATCTCATTTTATTTATTGTGATTGTGAACCGACCCAAATACTATAGATTTTGCCAACCGTGTTTGGATTTGGAACCAACTGCCAAGACTTTGGGGGGGCGACTCCCCCCCTACACCCCCTTAGGCCCGGCCCTGGCCGAGGGCATCATGGCGCGCAGTTCAGGACTCTCACACTTTCTGCCCGTGTAGTGTATACTATTTTTCTTACTACCTCGGCCGAAAATACAACCCGGCCGAAAATACGGGAAAAAATTAAATGTGAATTTATGTACCTATCTCCATTTGAAGAGCTTGATAAATAAATAACAGTAGGCCGTGAATTCAGCGGTGCCAATATAGTAAAAACACTTAAAACAACATAAAAAGTAAAAACATAAATTGTTTATTTGTTGTTATAATTGCAAAATTATGGTTTAAAACTGTCATATTTTTATGTTTCTCATGTTGGCAGTACGAAAATTGAATGTTAAGCACACGACTAAAAAATTTTTACTCCCGCTATTAGAGTGTGCGCGTATATCTTGACCAATGCATAAAACGTAAACTTTCTGCCGTGAAATCGGGGACGAAACAACGTATTTTGAGTCGAGGTAGTAAGAAAAATTAATTTTCTTACTACCTCGACTCAAAATACGTTGTTTCGTCCCCGATTTCACGGCAGAAAGTTTACGTTTCTTGCATTGGTCAAGCTATACGCGCACACTCTAATAGCGGGAGTAAAAATTTTTTAGTCGTGTGCTTAACATTCAATTTTCGTACTGCCAACATGAGAAACATAAAAATATGACAGTTTTAAACCATAATTTTGCAATTATAACAACAAATAAACAATTTATGTTTTTACTTTTTATGTTGTTTTAAGTATTTAATGGTACTTTTATTTGTTATAAAGTAGTAATTTGTTAATTAAAATACAACCTTTTATTTTTACTGTATTGGCACCGCTGAATTACCATGACAACGCTACAGTTTGATTGATTTTGAATGTAAACGTCAGAATTAAATTAAACGTCAGATTTTAATTTTGACACAAGTTTTTTTATATACATTTAATTTTTTCCCGTATTTTCTGCGGGGTAGCAAGAAAAATAGTATACACTACACGGGCAGAAAGTGTGAGAGACCTGAACTGCGCGCCATGATGCCCTCGGCTTCGCCTCGGGCATCATGGCGCGCAGTGCAGGAATCCCACACTTTCTGCCCTTGTAGTGTAATATACTATTAACTGTTTTTTTTACAAGCAACAATCGCCGCGGTATCATAAGTATGAGTACAAGTTTAATTATGCAAGTTACTTGCAGAGCAAGTTTTTTTATTAACTAGTCCCTTAAAGAAGTTAATTAAACGACTTGCATACTATAGTTTATTTACGACGAACATAAAGTAATGTTTTTCAAATCGTAAAGCCAACTTATTTGGCATTCTATCTGACATGTGACAGCTGTCAAGCGGTTTTAACCTCAGTTTTTTTAATCAATATCCAATTTCCATCAATAAAATTTTAATTTTAAAGACTCTTCCAAAAAATATTCTGACGAAGCTAATCAAACATCTGGGGTATTTTATGTGAAGCGGACAACGAAAAAAATGTAAAATATTAAAATTTGTTTACATTCGGCCCAAGTGAACTTTTATAAGGTGAGAATCCTAGACCAAACCTAGGGTGATAAACCCACATTTTTTGTATGAGACTAAGTTGGCAAGTTATGGTCTTCTAAAGATTGTCGCAATATAAAGTACGCATTTTTTTAAAGCAGTTTTTTAAATTAAACAAATTTACAATAAAACATGAAACAGTCATTTTTTCAAAAATTTACTATTCCTTTTAATAATTTTTTTCTTGTAGTAAACATTTCAAATCATAATTTTAATAACTTTTTTTTTCATTATTTTATTTTCTATATAAATAATACAGTGAACATTTTAAAATGGGATTTACATTAGCAGTGGTGGATCTAGGATTTTGGTGTAGCTGGGAGCTTGACAAAACTGCACAAGAACTACGGACTAGGGTAATAAAAGCTTGCGCAGACATTACTCCAGAACAAATATGAAAGTGTATTGAAATAAATGGTGGATTAGTAAAGGCGACAAAAATCAAATTTTAGAGAATTCTTAATTTTTTGTATCATTGTTGTTCTATTGCGTTTTTTATTTGGCAAAACTAAGCATAACAATATTTATACCATGTTACTACGAGTTTAATTTTATTTCAATGTGTTTTTCATTTATAACTTGACAGAATACATTTTTGTAAATATAATATTTATATAATTATATTATTTTAATTTAGCTAAAAAATCGATATAGTAGGCCTTGTATTTTGTAAAAATATGGTGTTTTTGCTCCAAAAATATATTTTATAATCAAGATCTAGACTTTAAAATAAACCGGGTAAAATCGCACAATAAATAAAGATTTTACAGGGGTGAGTCGCAAACAAATGGGTCACACTTATATATTTAAATTAATGATTTGAAATTTTTACTATATAAGAAAAAAAATCCAATTTTGAATCAGATTCCATAATTAATTATATTTTTAAAAAATTTAAATTCAAAAATCTGCTTCCGAAAAATCTGTACTCCATATTATATTAATCTTTGAAATCCCATAACTTGACAACCAAGCATCGTACAAAAAAAAATAGTGGTTTTACATTCACACCTTCTATCAGTACTATTAGGTTGACTGAACGAATTTCAGAATTTCACATTTTTTGGTTGTCCGCTTTACATGAAACACCCTGTGTAATAACGGAATAAAAATTTGTTTAAGCACTTTCTGCGTATAATTGTAATTTATAGGATTTATCCTGCATGTTATGCCTATTTTAATAGTTTTTAATGCATACTTTTTACGGCCTTAATTATAATTTTATATATGTATAACATAAATAAATATAAATCTTCATAAATATTTTTTTTAAATTTTAGTGTAACGCCAAATGTCAGTCTCACTCCACCCAAACTAGTTCCCAAAATAGACAACGATGTCCATGTCCAGGCAGTCGTCATTCCACCCCAAATCACCATTCAAAATTGCGGAATTGAGAAAAAAGTCGAACACAACAAGGTAACTGACATTACAGTAAGTTTAGTGCAACTAATTACCAGGGTTACCATGGTTAAATTTAAAAAAAAACTATATTTTTCCAACGGTTTTTGACGTGCTGGATCAGAATTGCTTCGAGAATTTCTAACCCAAAACGAAAGGTGTTTTTCTTCTCTTGGGTTCGAATTTCTCAAAAGCATGACGTGATGGAGCAATTCTGAAGTCGAATACAACGGATGAAATGTTGGTAAAATTTTGTAGACCTTTGTTGTTTTCAAAGTTAAGAACATTTTTATTTTTAGAACGCAGATTTCGAACAGCTCTGTTCCGATTCTTCGCCCGACCAAACGGTAAACTGGTTGACCACGAACCGTTTCGAAAAATATCTGCAAACTTTTTGCAGTTTTTCGGGAGCTGACATGCTGCGCATGTCCAGAGATGACCTCATCCAGATCTGTGGTCACGCCGATGGTATACGAATGTACAATGTTTTACATTTGAGGTGAGTAAAAAAATAATATACATATTCATCAAAAACTTGAGAAATGATTTAAAAAATTGCACACTTTTTTGATTAATTTATCAAACCTCGTTTCTTAAATGCATTGTTCTTTTAGAACCATCGCGCCAAAACTAAAAATATACGTTTGCCGCGAAAAATCGTCCGTTTTCAACGCCGTGTTCCTCTTCTCCTTCAACAACAACGAACTAGTACAAAAACTATCGTCTGTGATCAACGTACCTTACGATAAAATCAAAGACATCTACATCGAGGGTCCTCAGTCCATACACATCCGTCTGACCAACGACGTGCTCAGCCACGTCAAGGAGGAAACGATGTTTTTGTTGGAAGTGATTCAGGATAGTGACAGTTTTATTTTGCTTTTGAAACGTACTCTACCGTAGAGCAGTGGCGGGTACAAAATAAAAAAGGGTGAAGCTTTCATTTTTGCTTTCAATTTTAGTTAGTGTGCATTGCTACTAGTGATGAGCTAAACACTGCTAACAGTTATTGCGATTCCCCGATTGCAACTTTTAATATTTGTTAGTGCGATCTTTTACCATCTTAAACAAAAATGGTGCTTGGATTTTGCTTAAAAATCGCTGTTTTCGACAAATTAGGCAACTGTTAACGGCTATTTTTGAATAACATCTATTACATCACAGTTGGCGATATTTTGCTCAGCACTAATTGCTACCCTTTTTAACGGTTTGTATTCGCAACTAAAATAAAAACTTTAAAATTTAATTATAAGTGCTCTTTCTTTAATGTTAAATGTGTCTTATAAAGCCTTTGGTAGTATGATAGTACAATTGATATTTTTATAATAATTATAATATAAAATGTTTAAAAACACAATAAGTGATTTTATATTATGAGAATAACGTACTAATATTTTAATAGAAAAGACAAAAATATATTTTTGTATAATAGTTTATGATGATTTTTGTCAAAATTACGTACAATTAATCCTCAGTGTATAAAAATAAATGTTTGCAAATTAAAAAAAATATGACTAACAAGTTTGTAACAGTGTAATTATTAACAAATACATTAAGCTTGTATATTTTTTATATGAATTAAATGGTGCGTATTATAATATGAATTAATAATTAATTTAATTAGTTATTAATTATAAAAAAATATTTTTTAATATTAATTATGAATATTTACTGTGGATATATCTGAATCGATTACCTCATGCTAATTAAAAGTTATATAAATAGAATTGTTTTATTTGTTATTGTTTTAATATTATATTAATAAGTGCAATCAAAATTATTGTTGTTACTTTATATTTAATTGTTTAAATTTTTCTGATATTACTTTTTGTTTTACCTTTGCACAGTTTTGTAAATATTAAGATAACAATTAAGTATTAGCAGCTTTTATTTCTATTATTTAATCAGGCATTTTGGTTTATTGTTTAGTGCAAATATTAGTTATTTAATGGACAGTTTTATAGAAAATATTAGGTATTTACTATTTAATATAGAACAATTTATTGCATAGTTTTTAGTTTTGTAAGGGTTAATAATTTTTTTGAGCAGGATCAACTAGCTTATTAATTCATGTAATAAAATGTAATTATGTGCCTTTTTAAATAATCAAGTGTGCCATAATTAAAATATATTTATGTAGTCTAATTTTGTATTTTATTACTCTACTAGTACAGTCAATCTAAAGATGTTTGGAAAAATTGACTATAGTCATTTTTTGCATGAATCATTTGGTGCTCATAAGAAAAGCTTAACCCCAACTTTGCGGTATACTTTTGTATAAAATTGTATGAAAAAAAATGTAGGGGGCATTATCCCCCATAATTTAATTTGTCGTTCAAAAAGTAGGTGGCGCTATTTTTTTGTTTAAAGCAGAAAGTTTATTTTAGATTAGTTCAATCACAATGCTGCGTTTAAAAATACTGGACCCGTATGCAAACACGATTTGTCGCTTCAAGATGTGTTTTGACAGTGGTTTGGTGTATGGTATTGTTTAAGTTGTTTTTTTACCAAAACAGTTATATTAATAATAATGTGCAAGTCCTTTTAGTAATGGATGTCTCTTTAATTTCACCGACATATTTTTTATTTTATTATTAATTAAATATTCGATTAGTCAATAATACATACAATTTTGTAAGTATAAATTTAAATTTTAAAAATTCAAGCACTTATAATACTTAAGTATTTAGTTAACATATTTTTTAGTTAATATATTTTCTTAGATTATGTTTTAAGGTATAAGGATAAAACGATATTTTGGGCACTTTGGCGGCACCTACTTTTTTAATTTTTCGTCCTAAAGCATCGATCCAATGACATTTGAGGACAATACCACTACATTTTTATTCAAATGTTTTCTTCTAAAACCTACCGTTTTTAGGTTTGCACCTTAATCCCCAGATAATAGGTAGGTACCAGCAAAGGTTGGGATTAAGTTTTTTTAATGAGCCCCAAAAGATTTATGCAACAAATTGACTATCCACTATACCTATCCTAACACAAAAAGGATCAATTTCAATACAAATTATTTTTAACACGGATGAACCATGAAACCCCAGCAAACCAAATTATGTCACAATTATATAATATTTAGGTTAATTTACATAAAAATTGATCTTTAGTTATTATTTATGTACCGTCAAACGGGGCGAATCAGGACTAAGGGGTCATTCGGGACAAATCGACGCCACCTAGGTAGAAGTTACACGATTTTGCACATTTGGCGAATCAATTTCAATACAAATTATTTTTAACACGGATGTTTTTAAAACGAAAAATGGATGTATCTGAAAGTAGACACTCTGGGCATCTTCTTGAAGGATGTGCTTATAAACACTGGACATGGTGTTACGGTGGACGCGACAAAAAAAGACGTAATTTTAATACAGCGAAAACTCTTGTTGATACTGGTACTTGAAATGATTTTTGAGCTCCGTCAATTTATTTAGAGTATCTCAAACATTTTAGTCAACTGTTGCGCCTAAGCAAAAGTTCGTAAGTTTTATAGTTTTTTTTAATTAATTTTTTTTATTATTCTTGTCACTTTATGGGGTCAATTTGGACAATGGTCCGCACCTATAAAAGAACCCCTGGGGGTAAAATTTATCAGAATTTTGACCCGCGAACATTACAAATAGAGTTGGGTCGGATCCGAAGGAAAAGGATGACCCTACTGTTTTATCTGCCAACTAAAATATAAAGGGCTTTATTTTAGAAGGAGCTAAATAAATAGGCTTTTCTAATATGACGTCATCAATAAAAATTGTTTTTTTGTCCCTATTGACCCCTTACGCGGGGTTAATCGAACATTTTCGAGCAAATAAGCCTCTGTCCTGATTGACCCCAAATGCGGGGTCAATCGGGACACCTCTAAAAATATTTTTTTTGCTTTTACGTTAAATATAATATACAGGGTGTTCCGAAATTAGTGCACCATACTTTAACAGCAGATTCTACGTGCAAAAATAAGAAAAAAGTCCCTATAAATATAGGTAGAGAAATGCCTCCTAAGGGAGCTACAGCCCCCGAAAAGGGAGCCCCTGAAGATGGTTTTTATCTAATATAAATAAAAAAGTAGAAACACCCTGTCACTTACTACATGAAACTGTCACCTGTCTTGAATTATTCTATTTTTTCCTAAACATGGCAGCCGTATTCCAAGGACCACGCGAGTCAATTTCTATGGTTGTGATTTAATTGTGAATTTTTATGCCATGTAAAATAATTTTCAAATCGATTTTATGCGAAAACGGTGTATGTTATCGAAGTTCAACAAGATCACCTTTTTTATGTGCAAAACTCTAAAATTTCATAATCTGACACCAAATTCTGGTACAAGATACGTACAAATAAGTTAAGGTGGTTTTAACCCTACTTCCTATCAATTTGACCCAAACCTCATAAAAATTTTTAAATTGTTATTGTTACGTCATATTGTTCATAAAAAGTTTAATTAATTCCCCAAATTTCACTTTTATATCTTTAACGGTTTTGGAGATATTAAATAAAAACCATCTTCAGGGGCTTTCTTTTTGGGGGCTGTAGCTCCCTTAAGAGGCATTTCTTGACCTATGTTTATAGGGACTTTTTTTCTTATTTTTGCACGTACAATCTGCTGTTAAAGTATGGTGCCCAAATTTCAGGACACCCTGTATATAATAACTGCAAATCGTCCAGATTCGCCCCGTTTGACGGTAACATATTATCTCATCGGTATTAAAAATTCCTCATCCCGAACTTGGTTTAATGGTAACTTTTTCAATAAAAAAATTATATAAATGTAGTGTCCACTTGCATTAAATATTATTTAGCACAGTAGTAAAATTATATTTTAATAATATTTTAATAATAAGTACAAAAGTGCTCTTTTAGTTCCATCCTTACTTCTTAAGAAGTCCCATAAGCCAACTGAATGGCTTGTGCGGGTTAGGGGTAGGAACGGACCGCGGGCTTAAAGTCCCCTCGGAGCCGGGCATGGAAGGAATTTCAGTCTTTGCAATATTGGTTGCTACTACTGGCGTAAAGTAGAAAACATATTGTTTCTGAAATATTGCCGCATAGCTGGTCAAAGCTAGTTAGACTCTTTTGGGCCGCGTATGCGTACGGCGAGATGTATCGGCAAGTGAGTCTGGGGACATCTACCGTCTAAAGACGTGGCCTCACTGTGTAGCGTGCAATCGCAATGCATTTAGAGACACACAGTGGTAGGTTTTATCAAACCACAATCCACAATGTTGTGTGGATTGTGTACTTACCTAAATATAATTGATTGATTTTTCAATACAAAAAATTGATAGGTACATTTTAAAATCAGTTCCCACTGCGCGAAATTTCTAATCTGATTCAGCGACACCTCTCGTAATATCCTCTAACTTTATACAAACAGATATGTTCCTTATGTTCTGTGCAGATACCTATATTACCCAAAATTGTCTATGTAGGTTATGTTTGTTATTATTAATTGTCAATAGCCCCGTAAATAAAATATTTTTGTTTAAAACATCCTTTGATCAATTAGTTAAAAATGTCAAATGAATTGCCAAGCTGTTCGACATCGTGTCAAGTAATTACGTCGTTAAATCACTTAATTTTAAGCTTAAACATGATCATTTCAGACTGAAGACTTCAAAGAATTGTCGCTTGTGCAAGGAATTAATGTGTGGGGAACGAACCAGAGTGTTTTAGAGGAACAGGCGTTAAAAGAACTCGAATTATTTTCAAAGGAAACAACCACTGCCACTGATAAACTTGAAGATGGTGAGATTGAGGACAATGTGCAGCAAACTAAATCTACCTCGTTGGATGTAAACAGCTACATTAAACAACAGGAGGAGTTTAAGAAACGTAAGGAGCAACTTAAATCGTCGCAGGTTAGTGAGCAAAGTAGAAATGCAGCTGAGAATATTTGTAAGAAACAGAGAATTCATAAAGCAAAACGGAAAAGGAGTGTTAATAACTATGAAAGTAAGGTGGCATCTATATCTATCTGTGAAAAAAATGATAACACAGAAGATAATAAAATAAGTGAAATTGACAAAAATGCTGACGATGAGAAGTCTGGAAGTGAATATATCCCTTCTGATTTAGGTAATTATTTTTTATGTTTAAACTTTATCAGCATCATTCTGTTCATTTATGTTGGTAAATTATTATAAATTTTGATGTTTACTAGGGAGGTGTTTCTTTAAATTTGAAATCAATAAACTAAACAGTACAACATTCTCCTCACCGCATTAGGTATAATGGAGAATATTCTGATTGTTTTTTTTAATAATTGGTCGCAAATTTAAAAACTTAATTGTGTTAATAATATTTTATAGATGATAGTGATTATGAGCCCAATCCAACAAAAACCACAGTTGAAAAAATAGTTAAACAAAGAAAAAGTTTAAAGCAAAACTTTGACAAAGTGAAAGATGATGGATTAATTTCTTGTTACAAAGAAAGACTTCATAATTATTATACAAAATTGGAGGAAGAAGCTGAATTAAAAGCACTTGACCCAGATGCTGATGGTAATTCTTCTGAAGATGACATTAAAGAGTTAAAAGGGGGGTTGAAAATACCCAGAAATGTATGGGAGAGACTGTATGGGTAAGAAAAAGAAATTTATTTGTTTAAAATGTAAAATTTTATTTATTTTGATTTTTTTTCTGAAATTACACAAAATTAAGCAATGATCTAAAATAATAATATAATAATATTTAAATACTAAATTTATTTTGATTAATTTAAGAAAACATTTGTAGTTATCAAAAAGAAGGTATAAAGTGGTTATGGAGCCTTCACACAAACGCAACTGGGGGTTTATTGGGCGACGAAATGGGCTTGGGTAAAACAGTACAGGTCATTGTATTCCTTCATTCTTTGGAGTTTAGTAAAGTTGCAAGTCATGGAAGGTACTTTATAATTGATAATTGTTTAAGGTTTTGTTATGCTTAATATAAATTTTTGTAAAAAAAAAAAGGTTTGTTGGATTGGGGGCTTCAATAATTGCATGCCCCGCTACAGTCATACATCAATGGGTGCAGCATTTTCACGAGTGGGCCCCAGAAATAAGGGTTGCTGTTTTACATCAGTCAGGAACTTATCAAGGTTTTTAATTGTTTTTATATAAGTTTTTTGAAGTTCAGTTTTTAAATTATTTTGGTTTGAAATATTTTTTTTAATTGTATGGCTTGTCAAAATTCTTAATAAATAGTAAGAGAGAGATTTTTTCTGAATCGTGTTTGTTAAAGAGTTTGTATTTTTATCACAGAAAATGTTAGTCCAATTACACTGGGCGACAAAATGAACATTTTTGTTTGCCACAGGGGAGCCAAAAACTTTTCCAAATTGTTTTGATTTGCAAACATTCAAATTGGTATATAATTTTTTAATTAAATACTTTAACTAAGATTGGTCAAGCTAATTTAACTAAAAAAAATTTATACATTAATAAATTAAGTCCTTTAAAAAGCTATTTTTTACAAAATAAAATATCTTTTTTGGCAAAAATCTGTTAATTTCAAATTTATAAAATTTTGTGACAAAATTTCAGCGCAATAAAAAAAATTGGCAAAATGGCACTCAAAACAAACCCGTGTGTTAAAATTTACATTTAAGATGAAAATAAATGAAAAAAATTAAAGTTTATCTCAAATATCTTGAGAGGGAACCAATCGACTTTATAAAATATTACACCAAAATGGAGGGATTTCACTCAACCCCTCTCCCCTTTAAAAAATGTAGGGGTAACCATCACCCCCGCTTAGGGGTTGGTGTGGGGTTGAAAATATAAAAATAAATTGTATCCCTAAAATTAATTATAGATGTGTGCAAGCGTTTTTTTATTTTTTTACGTAACACCTGTGAAAACCAGGTTGGAAATATTTCATTGGCCTTCCCTGTATGTATGAATACGTAACTGAAACTCATTTTAATTAGATACTTTTACTTGAAAAGCCGGGGAAGCCATGCTGATACTTAAAAAGGAACTTTGGTGATATGTTAAACAAATATTAGAAACATTCCCCAATACCAAAACAAAACACAAAGTGTTTTTAATATATGTTAGTATGTGTCAGATGACAAATTAAATTGGAGGAAGTTGACTGTAATACAGGAGTTCACAGGAATTTTTTTAGGAATTCCTACGACTTAAGTCGTACAAGCGAAATTGACCGAAATATGAATTTTGACCCTCGTGGTTTGGGTGCCATTTTGTCAATTTTTATTTGATTGCGTTAAAATTTTAACACAATAATAAATATAATTAAACAAAAATGTTCGTGAAACAGCACTTTGAACTTCTGTCAAATTTTTACTAAAAATGATTTAGTTTCGTTAAAAATTGAGTTTTTTAAGAAAATAATTTTATAAATGTGTATAATTTATTACATTTGGACTCAGCTTCATGACAAACAATTCTTAGCTAAGGTATTTGATTAAAAAAACATATGTACGTATTTAAATGTTTGCATATTGAAAAAACGATTTTTACAATATCTCAAAAACAAAGGTTAATTGAACAAAATTATGGGTATTTTTGAAATCAGTGCACCCAAGTAACCCTAGAAAAGTTGTTGGTCATCCTGTGGCAAAATGGCTGTTGACTAGTCTTATTGTACTCAAATAACATACCTAGGTCTACAAAATGTTTAAACAGAAACCTGACTATATTTTTCCGAAGCTTTTTGACGTGCTGTTTTAGAGAAATTCCAACACAACTGTTTTTCCAATATTTAAATTACATCACCAGGTATTTTTCTCCGAAAATCTCTATACTTCCTCTAACAGTACTACCCGAGGGGTCAACCACTAGCCAGATATTTGTACACGTATTGCCGAACTGCCTATACTGCCAATTACTGCCTTTACTGCCTACTTACTGCCTATACTGTTTATATTGCTTATACTGCCTTTACTGCCTACTTACTGCTTATACTGCCTACTTATTGCTCTTACTGCCTATACTGCCTACTTACTGCCTAGTTACTTTCAACATTGCCTTTACTGCCCACACACGGTCCATAGTTTTACATATATGTATATATGTCTTTACTTGTGAATTTTGAATGTAGGTTTATAAAAAAACATCCGAATTTTAAGAATATAATTTATTGTTCATTTTTTTACACTTTAAAACATTAAAATATTTAAAGTTATTATATATTCTAATTGTTTACAATACTTACCAAACAACCATACACAGTTAAACTAATAAGCACAAACACACAAATAAGTTTGCAAAATTAAAACTGAGATACCTTGGAACGAGCATCGGAAGAAACCAGAACGTACTCTCTTAAAATTCTACTATTTGAAATAGTACCAGCATTTTTTACTAATAAAATAGTTAGTCCAAGATCCCAGGGCCGCCAGACCTACGTCATTTTATTACTGCTGAGATTTTTTTAATAAATGCCCTAATATGTAGTTAAAAACGTATGGGTACTTGCTAGCTTGAAAGCGGGGCCCTTTTACAGATAACGGGCACTAAAGGTACATAAAAAAGGTACCTGTCTACGTTAAAGTAATACCGCTGGTTTTCATATATGTTTTACACATTGTTATTAAAAACCAACATTCATTATTGCCAGACGCTTTCCAGGGGACCTAACTTCCGCCAGACGCTTTAAAGCTCAAGAAAAAAGGGCTGAACCTACGTTATAGTAGTACTCCTGAATTTTACATATATTTTTTGAGTGATTATTTTAGGACCTTTTGTAAGCAGCCAGACCAATCCGAGGGGCCCAAGCCAACCCCAGACGCTTTAAAGGTCAAGAAAAAAGGGGGGAACCTACGTTATAGTAGTACTCCTGAATTTTACATAATTTATTTGGTTGACTATTTTAAGACCTTTTATAAGCAGCCAGACCAATCCGAGGGGCCCAAGCCCCCCCAGACGCTTTAAAGGTTGTCACGAGTATAAAATCGCGACGTTTTAATTTGGCGGGTTTTAATGTTTTGGAACAAATATTAATTAATTTCGACAGTGTAATCAAGGCTTTCATTTTTAATTGTTTATAATTTCTTTTGGTTTATCGTTTTAATGCATTAATGCGGCGGTATTAATTTATAATTATTTAATAAATTTCAATTGTTAATGTATTGGTATATAATTTTTTATTAGTTACTGTTGGGATAATTTACATTTTATTATATTGTTTCGCTGTGTGGACAGGGCTTTTATTGCGCATTTAAAGAGGGGGGGTAAGTAGTGGAATTATTAATTGAGTTCTTTTCGATGCAATCTTTTGACGAAGCAGCACGGCCGATAAATTCGGCTGTTTGGGTATACTGTTTGGGTATACTAGTTTTGATACCTTAAGTTTTGGTATGCTTAATTTTGATACCGTATTGAATATCGCATATTTTATTTAATGTATTCTACGTGACTACTACGCAGCAAATAGCGGCATGGTGATATTTTTTTCTGCGAGCCACGCTTAAGTTTTTTTGGTGCAGTAAATCAAAACGCAATATTGGTATACGGATTTTTTTGGAGTTTGCAACAATACTACTACGGATGTAATCCTGACATACATTTTGGGCAATTTCAACTTGAATAACATATAACTGGAGAGATTTCATCACCTCACTGTACGGACTCAATTCCTTGAGCATTGTTCGATAAAGTTGAATCGACCAGCAAATTGGTAATCTTCAGATCAAGGTGATGTACTATTTTATTAATCTTTAATATCTTCCCAACATCAAACCGTAGTAATATTTTGCCAGTTAGCAAACTACCTTATTGTGAATTAAGTATAGAGATTATATTTCAATTTTTTAGCACTAAATCCTTCAGAATTAATGTTGCTATATTATTTGTAAATTTGGTATACCTAATCAGTAAAATTATTGTATTTCTGATTACTTAGTTGGTAGGTATTAATTAATATTATTTTGGTATAGTATTGCTATGCTATATTATTTGTAAATTTGGTAGAATCATTAAAATTATTGTATTTTGGATTTCTTAATTAATAATATTTGATATTATTTTGGTAAATAAATGGGATATTGTATTATGGGAAAATTGTGCTTTATTCAATTAGTCTAGATTTATTTCAGAGTATATTTGTTTATTATTTTATACTTTATTTACTGTATTCAATCCAATAACCCTCCCCTGAAGGTAAGTTTCATTTTTTTGTCTCCTTTGAGCTAGTGCAGGTGCGTGTAACATTTCACTCATTATAAATAGTTTAACATCCAACTAAAATAACATTCAAAAGTAAGTTTAATTACGTTACACAATTGGCGCCCAACGTCATTTTTTAGTTTAACTGTATTTTCCTTTAAAAAGTCATTTTTTTAGTCTAACCATAATTTTGTTTTGATATAGTGGTGTCATATATACACATAAGTGTATATGCAACTTGGACTCGACAGTTATTGTCTCCTATTGAGAAATAGGGGTGTTGCTATCCTTAAGCTAGATTTTTTGATCTAGTACGGGACTAAACGAGAGTTTAGAAGTATTCCATGTAATACAATATTTTGGTATAGTTGGTTTCGACTATTAACTGTCACTATCTCTAATCCAGATTTTTTTATCGGTACGGGACTAAGCGAAAGTTTAGATTGAGTCCAAAGTTTTAACCCTATATTGGTAGTAGTTTTTTTTTTAGTTTGTTTTTTTTTCAATTCACTTATATTACCTACAGTATTTGTTTTGTTTTTTATACCCTGATTGAGTACAGTATGGCGCCCACTTTACATCTACTTTGAGAGAATTTTGGCTGGTTGAAAATTGCACTTTACCTATTTTTTTATAAGCATTTAAGTAAATTTTTTGTTTCGCCTATTTTTGTCTTGCTTCTATAAGCATTTAAATAATTTTTGTTTCGCTTTACGAAAAGCGTTTTATATATTATATTGTTGTAAGCATTTCAGTACCAATAAAACTTAAATTTATAATTTTAGTTGATTTTTATATAGGTGTCAGTGAGTTTTCACGATAATTAGATACCTTGGTTTAGTTCAGTTTTTTTAAGAAAAAATTTAGAGAGTGTCGGTGACAATAATCACGTATTTTGGATACTCTTGAGTATAATTTTAGTTTTGATTTTTTATTGGTACTTTAAAGCATTAAATTTTAGTAAAAG